AACGTGGAGTATGTGCAGAGGATTAGAAGAGTAGAGGTGGAGATTACACTGAAGAAGATGAAGCCTAAGAAGGCGGTTGACCCTGATGGTATTTATACTGATAGAGGTGTGGAGGATTTTGGGTAAGATTGGTATTGATTGGTTAATAGACCTCTCTTCACAAGATATGGAGGGTTACAAGGATCTCGCAAGATTGGAGGAAGAGCACTCCCGGTTTATAAAAACAAAGGAGACGCTCAAGATTGTTCTAACATTTACGGAGTAACTCCCTTTGTTCCCAAATAATTGACACGTTTGAATTTTTTTTTTCACTATTCATATACTAACTTTGACCATCGTTTTAGTAACGTATTAAAAATATAAATTCTATCATGAAAAATATATATATTGTAAAAAAATAGAATATATATATATTACTAATTTTTCATAAGTTTGACTGTGTTAATTATTTAGAAACGATTCAAACGAAGGTAGACAGGTAGTATAACAACAAACCACTCTTCTCGCCCCACTTTTCTTTTTCGCTCTCTCCTCTCTCTTCTAGGGTTTTAGTTTTCTTGGTTGTTTAGGCCGGAAATAGTCTAATTTTTTCAATTTAGTTTTTTTGCTTTGTTTTACATTTTAGTTTGTTTTGTTCTCTCCATCTGTGACAGTTTGCCCCAATTTTCTGGGATTTTGATTTCATCCATGGATGAGAATTTTATTTTTAGGGTTCTTATAATAATTGGAAAGGTGATTTGGATTCTTATGGGTTTGGGGTTTGTCATCAACTTTTTGATCAAAATGTCAGCGCAAATTGCGAAGGTCTCTATTTGGAAAGATTGCAAAGACATCGAAAATCATTGCTCGCGTCAAGTTTGAAGCGGTGGAGTATGAGCTATGCCAAATATGCAATTTAGTTATGATTTTTATTGTAAAGTTATGGTATTTTCTTTAGATTTGTGTTTTACAGATCTTTATTATTGTAGATGTCGTATGACTATTATTTAATGAAATTATTACTTCTCATTCAAAAAAAAAAAAAAGTAGACATGTAGTATGTTGCAAAAAAAAAAAAAAAAAAGTGTACCAATAAAAAAGCCACGGCAAAGAAAATTGTAAGACTAAAATGTTTTTAAAAGGTGGGATTATTTTCGAAAGATAGAGCAAAGTGGGATTATTTATTCCCATTTTAAAAGAAAGGAATATTTTTTTTCGTACTGCCGTACAGCCATTGAAGCGGCTTTTGAGCTTTCTCTATTCCATTGATCCAGATTCTGTGGTAAGTTGTTTTTTCACAATCTAGGGTTTAGTTTCATACCATTATTTTATCTAATTGTCAGTTTGTTATCAAAACAAAAAAATATTAGGGTTCATATATATTAGGAGGATTCTTGAACTATCGCTCATTATTACTAAAGCTATGAAATATTATAACCTGCAAATTTGTCGCCGCAATTTTGATGTGTGCAATTACGTTGATATTCTTAAGCTAGAAAATTTTATGTGATATTTCGAGATAATTTGATGATTGAGTCAAATTTGGTTGTTAATGAGTTGCATTTTTCGACCCTAATTGAGCCTACGAGCTTTGAGGAAGATTTTAAGGCTATTCGAGGCTCGTAGAGCTTCAAACTCGAGTCGAGCTGCCTAAAACCCTAAACCTCTCTTAATTGTTTGCATTTTATTTCCTCGTTTACTTTGTTGAATATGATAGTGCACTTACTCACTTAGTATTATGTAGATAACTAGATAATATATATGTTATACTTCTTGTTGAAGTTTGATTTCTTGTTATGTATGATAAGGTTGTCATTCTTGTCAATCACTTGAGATAAATAAATTTGGTTTTGTAAGTTTGTTGTTATTTGTGAATTCTTGTGTCAATGTGTCAATGAAATTACTTTGAAGGAAATGTTCTTTATTTTGTATAAATTTCTAAGGATATGACGCATATGTGCAGGTCATATAATTGGTGTTTAGAGCTTAGAAAATCAATCAACATGACGATGTCTAAGGCTAAGGGTTCGAAGATGCTCCAGAGTATCAATTATCGCATGCGGGTCACTACGGAAGATGGGCGTCAACTCGTCGGGAAACTCATGGCCTTTGATCGTCACATGAACGTTATCCTTGGCGATTGTGAGGAGTTTTGAAAGCTGCCTCCCGCGAAAGATAGCAAAACCAACCCTGACAAAGAGAGAGAAGAACGCCGTACCCTTGGCCTTGTCATCCTTAGAGGTGAAGAGTTGCCATGACTGTTGAAGGTCCTCCTCCTCAAGATTTACGTGCCTAGTGCATGATATGTATCTCTTTGAAATCCACTTCTTAGGTTGAGTAACAAAGTGTTAAACCAATGTACATTTTGATACTTTATTTTGTTGTTTTTGTTAATAAAACTCAAAGCAAAACAACAATTACTACTAGTTTTTGGCTCGAACTATGCATGAGTATACATCAAAAAATGTATGTGATGAGTTGATGACTGGTGTGGTGAATTAGTACTTGGTCTATTTTTGTTTTCTTTTATAAATATTAATTTTGAAAAATTACAATAAGATTAATTTGATGGACAAAATACATGTGTGATTTAGTTTAACTTGTTACTTACCTAGAAAGGGAAAGGAAACTAGTTGAAAAAAGGAACGTGGAAAGACATTGAACTGTAGTGTTGAATGAAAAGGATACATGTAAAGAGCGGACACATGAATTAGTAAGCAAAATAAAACAAAAATAATTTACTTCGATACGAATGAACATTCTTTTCAATGAAGATACATGGATCCATAACCAACATACCTTAACACATTAAATCTTCCCATTATCAATACAAATCATTAAAAGAAACATCATGCATGTTGGAAATGTATATAATTTTTTTTTTAATGATAAGGGAAATCCCTCAAATGAGTCCCATAAGGTTTAAATCCTAGATTTCAGGGATACGAGATGAGAGCGATGCCACTACTCTATCACGTCAACTTAAAAAAAGCGAGATAAGAGAAACTAGAAGGGACACTTATATTGAAATATAGAAATCACAAGAGATCCGGACATACCTAATGATTAGGTAATTATGTGGTGTTTCTAGAAACTATGCTTCAATAAAACACATTTAATATTCTAGTTTAATGAAAGGAAGTTAAAAAAAAAAAAAAAAACCCGGAATTTTAATTTGATGAATACTCTGAGTATTCAATCCCTTTTCCAATAGCATACTCCCTCTGTTTTCAAAATAAATGTCCAGATTGACTGCTATGTATTCCAATGCAAAAATTTGACTAACAATATAGTTAATTATCTATAAAATAATAAAAGATTGATATCCTAAAACAGTACATTGAGACGATTCTAATTAACAAATGCCCACATTATTTTTTTTATTTTTTTTTCCTTATGTTTAAATTACTAACATTGATCAAAGTGGATAATGTATGTAAATAGTGCAAAAAAGTCAAAGTATATGATATTTACTACATACCTCTATTTTTCTATTAGATGGATCACTTTTGAAATTGCGAACTTTTAGGCAACTTTTGGAGTTGAGAGACATAGAGAGAGAGAAAAAAAAAAGGCTCATGTGATATGAGAGAGATAGAGAAAATTTATTGACTAATAGGGAAAATAACGGATCTAAATTGTAACTTCCATATATAAAAAGTGATGCATCTAATAAAAAACGGAGGAAGCATTTATGGAAGGAATAACATTAGTTTGAAACAAATATAGGAATACAATACTCGTAAGAATTATTTTCTGTTTATTCTTTTTTGGTTAATTTCCCTCTATCAAAACTTATCAAGTGTAGGGATAACAAACAAAATGTGCGGGTGCGGATACCCCTCCCCCATACCCATGCCCACCTAAATTTTTTTGAAAAATTTGTTATATATACCCGGGTACACCATACACCCACCTAACCCAAGGTTAATTTTTGCTCTTTACTTGATAATTAAATGAAAAAAAAATCATCAAAATGAGAATAAAATATTCATGGGTGTGCACGGTGTACCCAAGTATATGTAACAATTTCTCTAAATTCTTCATGCCCACCGCTTACCCACTACCTATGTAATACATATTGCTTGGGTATAAATTTAAATCCACATTTTTTTGGTGCTCATTTAAAAAAAAAAAAATTTGATAAAAAATAGGAAAAATTGCCAAAAATAATACAACCTTTGGCCGGTTTTTTTTTTTTTTTTTTTTTTTTTTTTTTTTTTTAATTTTTTTATATTTTTTTTAATAATGCAACCTTTGGATTATTTTGTAATAATACAATATTTAGGGGGTGTTCATTTTAAACAAGACAAACTCGAATTTTCGGTGGATTTTGAGGTTAGGAAAGGGGAGAGGATGAGTTTTTGGTGGTGAAGAATCCACCGAAAATAAAGGTTGTATTATCACAAAATAATCAAAAGGTTGTATTATTAAAAAAGAATAGGCCAAAGGTTGTATTATTTTTGACAATTTTTCCTAAAAAATAAAAACTAAAGGAGTAAAAAACCATTCTTGAGTGCATATAACTCCATATACACCCGAATGTATACAAAACTAGTTTAAATCCCGTGCCATGCACAATAACGGTAATTTTTAAAAATTAATATCAACGTTTCAATATAATTGGTTATTTTACAAAAATTAAAAAAAAAAACTAAAAAAAACTAATAAATCTACACACTACTTTGATGTGAATTCTAATCAATAAACAAACAACTATTTTTATTAGTGAAAAAATATGAATACTTTTTTGAAGTAAATTAAAATATGTCGCAAATTATGTTAATATTTTCTATTATAGTATCAAATCTTTTTTATTTAAAGTAGTTATCTTTGTTACTAACATATATATAAAATTATATTTGTATAATTGAATTTTTTTCCAAAAAAAAAAAAAAAAAAAAAAAACTATGGACACACCGAGTTATGACACGTGTCATTACTGATGTGTCTTTTAATATATAGTTATTATATTATAGTTAAGTTATTATTATTATTATATTTAAGTTATTATTATTGATTGATTGATGTCTTGATAACCAAGCATTAGTCCTTCGAACTTGGTTGGGTATTACCCACTGTGCCAATACTTAATCCTTTCCCTAGAGTTGAGATTGCTAACTCAAGCGGGTTTTTGGAGCGCCAAAAGTAAGAAACACTAAAACATTAAAAAAAAAAAAAAAAAAAAAATTGTCATTAGACGTCCCTTTTTTGTTACCTGAAATAACTGTCACCCGAATTTTAGGTCATGAGAAGTCAATTTCTATCATCAAATTGCAGGAGCAAGCAACATTCGGCTATTTTTCAAGTAATTTATCTTCATTAATTCGATTTTTTTGGTGTTTGTTTTGTTGATCATGTTTAGGTTTTGCGAAGGATTGATGCAAAAGGAATTTCTTATACTGGAAATTACTTTCACTTGAATTCTGAATTCTTTGAATTTGTTGATTTTCTGTAAAAAAAAATTGGGAAATTCTGATGAAAATATGTTCAAATGCCGCAGAGAATGCCATGAAATTAGTTTGTATAGCTCTAATTTGCTTGTTTCCTGCAATTTTGTTTTAGTTCTTTTAGAATTTACTGGATAATTTATGCTTTCAATCTAAAAATATGTTTGTTATTTTGTATTATTAAGCAAAATTGGTACGATTTTGTCGTTGAATTGTACATTATATTGCTTTTGAATCAAAATTACTGAGACATTCCATTGTTGCTGGAACACTTAACAAATGTGAGCTAGCCAATTTCTTGTTCGGTTGTTCGTTTTGAATACCAATACAATAACTATTACGGAGTACTTTATAAAATTGTGTCTCTGAATTGAAAAGACACATCATTTTGGATGAAGGCAGCATATATGTTAGTGAATGTAAGGGCACTCAATGTGTCTTCTGAAGATGAATCTATTAAAGTTGGGTTTGCTAAATGTTTTCTGAATTGTATATTCAGATTCATGTTTTGTTGGTGGTGGCTATATATGATATATCTCTATGGAGTTTATGTGAGCGCTTGAGTGATTAGCATCATGTTGCAGCTTTTAAGTATATTATACGTATTCATATGTCTACTTTGTCTACTGGCCGGAAAGTTGATACTGTGAAATTTGGGATACTAGAGCTGTATTTCATGATTTTGTGTTGTGTATTAAAATGTTTTAGGGTGCTTTATTTTGTTAACAACTAATATCCTGGTTAGAAGTCTAATTAATTGATATTATTAATAAGTAAACTGTTACATTAGATCCCGTTTTCTGATATATGATTATTTTATTAAGCCCCACAACTCTTGTTGTTACCAGATGCCTGTAATTATAAACTTTTGCTTTGGACAAGCACAGTGCCAACCGAATATTTAGCACTGCATGGGTTAAAAGGGATGATGATATCGTTGATTCTTTCCAGGTATGAACAAGTTATGGATACTGCGATTTTACAATTTGTGGCATTCATAGGGTTATTTTATTATTGAGCATATGTGATACTGAGTGTGTTATTCTTTTGTTAGCTTTGACAATTGAGATATGTTGATGCTAAAGAAACTGAGTAGGTTTTTCCTAGATCTTCCCTCTATAACTGAGTGCATGTTGGTGTTATGTTTTAGTATTTGCCAAATAGTTCATTGCTTATGTTGTACATAGTGTCCATTGAGCTTCAAGGACTAGACTCACTTGTATGAGGTCCTTTTTAGAACTTTCGCTCTGTATAACGGAGTGGATTGATGAACTCTGGGGCACCCCTCTGAATGTGCCAGATCATATGCTTTAAACCTCATAGGATTCACCAAATAGTTGGTTGCTTATCTAGCTATTCTAGTCACAGAGTTCATGAAGCATGAAGAGTTAGTTGAAGGGTCAAATCATCTGTTACTTGCTGTAACTTATCAATGTTTTATAATGTGAGGTCTCTAATGGGACCATCACCCTGTAAGTAGAGTGGATAGATAAATTCTGTGGCAAACGCGAAAACCTGATGATCTTTCATCTCCATTCATGTGATTTCCATTCCAAATGTGCTAAAGCATCGTTATAGGAGCCGCTGCATTTATGTGCCATTTAGATCATAGTATGCCAAATAACTTTCATGAGCCAGCTGCTTATGATGACTGACTGTGTAAAATAACATATAATGTCAGGGATTTGCAATGCTTGTGGAACTCTTGGGATTGGTTCCTTGGTTTAGTTGTATCAATAGAAAGAAAAAGTGAATTGTAATGGAAGCATATATGTTGAGGAGTGATATATAAAGAGGGTGAGGGTGAGAGGGGGGGAGGGGGAGGTAAGGGGATCCCTACCTCCAAGTACCATACTTGGTAAGATTTGAACCCAGGACCTCTAGGATCTAAGGTAAGACTTTTACTAATTGAGCCAACCTTTCCTTGTTAGTCTTAATCATGGTAGCCTAATTTTCCTAGCAGGTTTCATCAAGATAGTCTCTTAATGACTTGCTGGTCTTACATGTAGTTCCATTTGATTATGGTGGAGAGGCCTGAAATCCTTTGAAGAAGCTGAAATTGCATCCTTGATCACTTGTTAGCTTGGTGGAGATGAAATGATTAAATGACAAACTGACAAATGATGTATGGAGTATGGACATATGATAAAGGATTCATCTTCTGTTTGATAATGGAAGAGAGACTAGGAGTCCATGGAAATTTCATTGAGAGAACAAACATGCATATTAGTTAAGTTGGAGGTGCAGCTGTAAAAAGTCATTGAAATTTATGTTAAAGGTAAAATTGTTACTTATCCTAAATAGTTTGGTCGCACTGGAGATGAAACATGGGAACCCCTTTTTATGCTTTTTAGCTGAATTTTTCTTTCGTACAATGAAAGCCATGAATAAATATAGTCTGTATTGGTTTTCGTCAGAGTTTTTATCATCAAGGGGATCAGATTTTCTCTCAAATTATTTGCCAGCTCGTAAATTGAAGTATTTTTAATTCCTTTTAATGTTTTCCTACTAATCTAATGATTACCGTGAAGGACTGAATAAGGATTTTAGAATGTATTTCTTCTATTTTCGTACACCTATTATCACTGAACTCTGTTGATATATTGTAATTGGACTCATTAGAAGCATCCGACATGGGTTCTTCAACCTTCTCTTAGCTGGTCTAAGAATTTTGGAGGATCAATATCCTATAGTTACATCCATTAAAGGTGTTGAAACAATTTTTCATGGATGTTAGGAAACACAATGAATTTCTGTATCAAAGCCTGTACTCAATTTGTTGGACAAATAAGAGGAGCCGATGGATCAATTCAGATATTATGTGGAGTACACCCATTAATTCTGACCATGCTGCGTCGTATCACATTTGACCTCTGTTGTGGGTGTTAAGATCCATTGTGCTCAAAACTATCATGAACATTTTCCTTTTAAATTGTAGAATGTAAGAAGTAATTTTTTTTTTTTTTTTTTTTGTCACAAGCGTTTAGAGAAATTTCTCGGCCTTTGAAGTGGGTATCCTTTTTTGGTTTTGAGATGTAATGACTAACGAGTGGGCTTTCCATGGCATTAAATTCATCATGCACTATTTAGATTGGATTCTGTTCTGAATTTCTTCTTAGAATCCTGTTTAACCATTTGAAATCATCCATTTGTTTCTTTTGCATTCAATGAAGCCTCTGACATATAGTCATTACAGAACTGCCTCTAGGGTTCTTGTGGGCTTTGTGGCCCTCAATCTTAGATCAATTTGTATCTTATTGATGGTTAGTGTATTAACTCTGACTTTAAAGACTGTATTGATGTTAGGATTTAGGAAGATGTTTCGATTTTTCAATCATGACAGCTCCAATCTTAGCATGTCAAAGAGTTGTATAATTCTTCCCTTTGGAAATGTCATGTAGATTGCAGCAGTGTTACTTGTAGGCAATCAGTTATTAAGAATTAAAAGATAAAGATATTTTATTTAAATTTTTAGTCCTCCTTTCTATCTGTCACATAGAATATAAGATGATATATGGCACTCAAGATGTACATAACATACATAATGTATGTGTAATAATTACTTGATAAGCTGAAAGCTAAGCTTCTATAAGCCTGTACTTGAAAAGAAATACTAGCGAACTTGTTTTTTTTTATGATTTCAGAACCCAACTAGGTTTATGTTTGGTTTTGCAAGTGCTCTGCTCCTGGAGACTTTAGTTCTACTGAACCCTGCAACATAACAAATGAAAGGAAAAAGGTTAGATGTATTAGAATAATTAAATGATAATTACTCATAGCCTTGAAAGAACCCTTTTTATTTTTAGTGCATGCTATATTCTGCGACTGTAAGCTAGTGAAAATTTTGTTATTGTTGTTAAGTGTTGGACATCATAATTCTATTAGATGGACTGATTATATTAGCTCTGTATGTCCGACTTGGAAGAAATAAACAGAAATAAGAAAGAGCTGTACTGAGAGCAGTCTGTTTGGGGGCCAACAGCTCCTGGAATGCTGACTCCACATTTGTTGGGAAGTGCAGCTACGTTCTTTTGGTTGATACCAGGAAAGGCTGTAGCAGCTGATTTCATGCATCTGCAAGCAGTTCTTTTGTCTTGGGTTGTGGTAGCCTCAGTTTTGAGGGCTCTAACACCAGTACAGCAAGCTGCTGTTGGTCCCTGACCATTTTCTAGGAATCCAATGCATGGTGCAAGGTGCTGAGAGACCATACCACAGTTAATGGCGGCTTCTGTATATGGTGCAATTACCATTATGCACACAATAACTGCACATAACACCCTTAGGATAGCTGAGCTAGCCATACTCAGATTGCTGCTAAATTGATCTCAAAATTTTAGATAGAGGTTTAGAGAGAGAAAGAGGTAAAGAGTTAATGGGAAGTAGATGGTATGTATTCCTCCATTTGGTCTATTTATAGAAGAGTACAAAGATCAGGGGAGTACTCAAAGGGCGGGAATAATTAAGTCAGTGGATTGCAGTTGAGTCTTGATTGCAGTTGGTATTGAATGACAGCTATAATTGCTTCTATTTTTTGGTTGATTTTCTTTGCTGAAATGTTAGTTCACTTCAGAAAAAGCCTTATGTACATTCTGGTTTCTCAGATTTTTAGCATTTGAGATCTTATGCCTGATGCTTAAATGTGGAAATTTAATTGCTTGACAGGACCCCTAGGGGATCAATCACTTCAGGTTTATTGAGCGCCTCAAATTCCTTCCTTTGAAGATTCATTATATGAGCACAAATTAAATCTGCGATTCGAGTATCACTTGCTTTAAAAGTCGCTTGGGTGAGTAAATTATTATAGCTGTGAAAAGTAAAGAAGTGTGCATAATTATTATGCTTATTGCATCGTATAATGCAAAAAGAGAAACACAAGACATTTGACATAGACACATTCTCTTTGATGTTCATATGTCCCAAGCTTTGTTCTCTTTTCTGTCTATTTTGTTGTGCTCTTACTGATGAGTGAGTAAAGAATACTGATTGATGAGTACAGTGATTTGTATGTTGGCTGAATTTCTGATGTACTGTTTTCTGAGTGTAGCGACCTATATAATTTCTGAAACTAGATTTTTGGGCTTTTCTTAGAATTTTACCTATCTAAGTTTCTGCCAACCACCTCTATCCTCACATAATAACGTCTCACCTAGAAGAACGGCATCTATTCAATTTCCACATCACCTACATCAGACTTTCTTCTGTAACTGAATGAAATATTACACTCAAATATAGTAAATTATAATTAGTTTTGATGTGTTAATATGTTATTTATATTAGGACGTAGGGCCAAAGGAGTATAATTTATGAGGCAAATGGCCAAACATGCACATGGGTGTCAACTGTTAGGTGGGCAACAATGTATCGATCTTGATGGTTAGCAATCATTATGCTGTGATTAATTTTATGCTACACTCAGAAATTGCTTATACGGCCTCTCCCTTACAATGGTTGGGATTTGGAAAATTAGGGTCATCCAAACATTTGCAGTGTCAAGTTCCACCTAATATCTTGTAGTATGTACCCATTTTGTATTAAGCCCATAAGCTCGCCCACCCGATTCTTGAGCCCCCTTCACAAGCTTGTACTAGAATTTTCTTCAGTGTCACTTTTTTTATCCATGTTTGGAGTAAAATTTTTTTCTTGGGTGTGAATTTTGTGAAGAGATTCATGTAAACAAGACAAGGGCGTTACGCACACATGAACTAATGGGCCATAGGAGTAGGCTCATTGATTATGAATGATTTATAGCCTGAAAATTCTATGCTCGAAAATCTTATTTATAGCCATATTGGTCATTTTCTTACCTGTTTTTGTCCATAGGCAACTAGAACTTCAATGAATGCAAGAGCATAAAATAGAATTGATTTATGTATCAAAATGTTGCATTTCTTGTGGCCTGCTTGGACTGTAAGGAATATCGTGCCTTAAGCTTCATAGAGTGGCTTATTGAAATTTGTACAGTTTTTCTATGATTTACTCCTGATGAATTTAAATACTTCTCATTTAAGACTGATGGCATACCAAGATTTATCTATTTTATAGGCGTGTTGATTGGATACATTGATGGAATTTTTAGCCTCCTACAAATCTCTATCCAGCCAAAAGAAGTGGGTTTTCTGTGTCTGGTTAGAGTGAGTTATATATACTTGGATTCAAGTACTCATTTATCTTGCTTACTCGATATATCACATGTAGTCATGTAGAAATGGGGTGCACAATATTCTCATTTATAATAAGTAAATAGTTTATAGGCAACAATGATAATTATAAGTAGAATGTAAAGTATAAATATGCATTAAACATAAAAATAAATGGACATGCAGAGATAGAACTCCATCTCTTTATTTTTTAAGCTTCTTGGCCAATAGGTAGGTAATGTTGATCACTTCAGCTGGAATATTATCCTTTTAGTTCACCCTGCAGCATGAGAAATATGGAATATGAAAGTTAGTATATTGGATGGGAAAATCCACACCAAATCTCTCTACTAAATTTTTTTGTACATGCAGTCATGCTCCTAAGTAAAGCCTGTGGTAGGCACGACATGACACATTGTGTAAACCAGCATGACAAGACACTCTAAAATAAGTTGAGTTTAGATTTGGCATGCAACCATAGAACGTTGGCAGTGAGCTTAGACGACGCACGGGCCACCCTTTTGAGATTTTGGAACGACACCACACGTAGCGACTAGGTTCAATCATGGCTCCAGCCTGGCCCAAGGCATGTGGACTTGGCATGAGACATTACCCACAACTATCTTAACTCTTGATTAATTCAAAGATGGGTATAAAGTTGGAGACCATTTTGTCTTTTGAAACTGTCATATCACTTGGGAACATGATGTTCTAAGTGTATCTAAATTCTCTTTCATAGATGCACTCTATCAGCTTAGCAGAGTACTAGAAATTTCCATAAGACTCTAAATGTGGTGGGTTTTATTCGATTCGTAGACAGATAATTTTACTTAGAGGTGTTGCCATTTATTATAAAGTAGATGAGGGATGGAAGAGAGAAATAAAAGTTAGAGCCATACTTAGAGCAGTCAGTCTGGGGGCTAATGGAATAAGGAATGCTGACGCCACATTTGCCCGGGAGAGCTGCTGCCTTCTTCGCGTCAAGACCCGTCACGGAGGCAGCTGCTGTTTTCAGACAGTTGCAAGCAGTTTTCTTGTCTTCTGGGGTGGAAGCCAAGCTCTTTAGGGTCTTAACCCCAGTGCAGCAAGCATCTGATGGGCTGTCGCCGCCCTTTAAGTAGGAAATACATTGTGCAATATCTTTGGTCACTGTGCTACAGGTAATGGCTGCCTCTGCATGAGGTGCTATTACCACCATGCACATTAGAACTGCACAAGCTAACTTGAGAAAAGCGGAGCTAGCCATTGGTTGGTTTTCGGGAAGAGAGATAGAGAAGGAATTAGCTGCTTAATGTGGAGGTATCTAAGGATCTTTTTGGCAATTAATGCTTTGATGTGTACCTTGTTGGTTGTTTTTATAGGGGAGTTTAACAGGTCTTGTTGATTGGTAACTTTAGCAAGGAAATACGTATTAGTTGGTAGTTTAACCTTAACCCTTAGACAAAGTTGTATAGTAGCTATTGGATATATTATAAGATTACTTTAATTACTACGTATTTTGTTTGGAATTTGTTTTCATCACATTGTTTCACCCCTTTTTAAAGCTTATACTATACGAAAAAAAATATTTTGTATGTTTTAGTTAAGCCATGTTAATTTATATCCTTTTTCACAAATTATTTAAACTAAGTAGTGGCACATTGAAAAATCTAATCATAAACTATTATTACATTATGAAAAATTATAACTTTTTCGGATGTTAAACTATTATTTATGAACCCAGGGAGTGTAGTTGTGTAGATACTTGTATAAGTTTTCAGGCCCAATAGTTGGTGGCATACCCGTGTTACTTGTTCAGCTGATAGAAGTGCTGTCTTTGTGTCATTGATGGGCTGATTCATTATTCTTCTACGAAGTTGGTCTATATTTTGTTAGACTTTGGTGATATTTTTTTGGAATATTAGTGAAGCTTAAGCATAAGAAAGCAAGTCTTGAGTTACAAGTTAATATATTTGTGTAAGTCTGACATAAAATATTATATAATTTGGATTGTATATAGATTTCTTGAAGATATGGAGCTGTTTTTGTGATGTTGATGACATAAATTTGGGTTAGATATGGTTACAAGTTTTCTTTGTTGTCCAGTTTCGTGCCGTAATTTGTAAAGCCATGCATAATATTACCCATAGATTTTTTCTTTTTATACGGAGTAGTTTTTTCTTTTTAATTATTTTAGTGAAGGTTTGACCATCATGGATTCATGGGTTCTACATATAAAAATATTAACAATTAGTTTTAATTGTGGTGGAAGTAGGATATATTTGAGTGGTTTGGAAAATGTATTTCAGGTAAAATATATACTTATATATTTTTGAACAACCATAGATTATTCATTCTTCTTTTCACGTTCCTAAGTTTGATTAAATGTATTAATTACATTAATTTGCGTATAATTTTATCACGAATTTTAACTTTATTGTATTGTAGGAAATCTATTTATTGTTTATTTGTAACCTTAAGGGCTACATATATCATTACCTTAAAAGAAAAATGATAAACATATACAAAACGATAGCGTGATTTGACCGATCAAAGTTGAATAAAAAGAAACTGGAGGAAAATGATTTAATTTGGATAAATTTTTTTGGATTGATGAGGTTTCTATTTAGGGACAAAGAGAGAAATATTGAACTCCCTTTATTCTTGAAAGATTATTATGTTTGGTGATTTTATGCGTTTATTAAGGAAAATTAGATAGTGGAAAATAATGATTTGATGTCACATATATAAGTATTAAGTTGAAAATAAATTTTTTACCTTTGGAGAAAATAGGATTAGTTGCTTTGGGTGTAGTTATAGATTTTGGTAAAATGGAATAGTTACTTTAGAAAATGGTATGTATGAGGGAAAATGTATATAGAAAAAATTATATCAATCTAGGAAGAAATTGAAACATAACCAACAAATTGGAATGCCCCAAATGGTAAATATAACTATCTTATAGAAACGAAGGGAGTAGCTTACTAAGCTAACCAAATGGTAAATTCAATTGAAAATTTGAATGAGACATCATTTTGACTTTTTTCAGTTTCAAAAATTCCTCATTCAAATTTTAATTAAACTTGGGTTTGGACTTTGGACTATCCAAAGCTTAGAAAGTTTTGCTTACATTTGGTTGTCAATTGTTACTTTAATTCAAACGAAAATTTCTATTTAATATATTAAATTATAGTAGCTGATGAACTGAGATCTGTCTCTTATGTTTCCTGTGTGAAGTATATATTGGACCATTCCATTTTCTTTACATGCAAGAGCATCTAACACTAAGGCGGTCCCAGTTGGTTCATATGATTCAGTCTTTTAAGACTTCAATGCTTTATAAATGATAATAAACCTTCTGCATTAATGTCAAGTTCCAAGTTCTTTTTATTACAGAGTATTGTTTTTTAATATTATACCCAAAAAAACTTTGTCTATCCAATGTGTTGATGTCCGCATCTGATAGAGTTCTGATAGTTAAAGTTGTCCATAGTTAAAGTTATCCATGGACTAAGATGAGTAGGTTTTTAATTATGTCAAGGCAAGGTTAGTTTTGTTTTTGTAATGGCAATATTATGGTCTGGAACCAGTGAATATAGAATTTCTGTTATGATATTTATTTACTTCGTACTAGTGTTAGACAAGGGTACATTTCCATTCTAGATAGATTCTAATGTAATACTAGTATGCTTAGCTTGGAGTCTTATGTCAAAGAAGTCACTGAGGTTGCTGAATCCCAATTTTACCGCCTTAGTCTCTATTTCTGGCCACAATTTTTTTTACACCCCTGCTATTGTCAAGTCTAACAATTCATCCATCTAATGAACTTTGATATTTTAGAGAACTGTATGTCTAACAGTTGAAATCAACCATTTTA